ACTAAAACTCATGTTGCTTATGTGTGCGAGTCTTTCAATTTGTGACATGGTAGATTAGGACATATTATTTATGCTTCTCTTGGGAAATTAATTAACATTGAATATATCCCTAAGTTTGAATTCTACTTGTTGTACAAATGTGTGACGTGTGCCGAAGCAAAGTCAACACAAATTTCATTTCAAAAGATTGAACGAACTACTCAACCACTATCTGATTGACATGGATCTGTGTGATTTCAAAACAACTCCTTGAAGAAGTGGTAATAAATATGTATCACATTTGTTGGTGATAGCACAAAATACCGATATGTTTATTTACATAGAACTAAATTCGAGGCATTGGAAACTTTCATTCGATATAAGAATGAAGTTGAAAAATCAACTTAATTGCAAAGTTAAAGCTATTAGTAGTGATAGTAGCAGGGAGTAAGAGCCCCCCATTCACCGAGTTATGTGCACAACATAGAATTGTACTTTAAATAACTTCGTTATACACACCTCAGTCCAATGGTGTGGCTGAACCAAAAAATCACACTCACAAAGATATGATGAATGCAATATTGTTTAGTTGGAGCTATCTCAAAACATATGGGGTATACATTTAATGAAAGAAATAAAAATGTCTGATCATCGTCAGATATGGCTCAATTTGGAGGCTTCATTTGTCTAAACATATGGGTATTTTTGGGCTTTTACTCCTTAAATCATACTCCCTCCGTCCATAAATAATGTTCAGAGTTTGACTTGGCACGGAGTTTAAGAAAATGTAAAAAAAGCCTTTACTTTCCAGCTTTGCCCTTTGGTTAATAAAAATAAATAAATTAAAGGTAAAGGTGAATAAAGTTAAATAGTAATGATTGGATAGATAAAGTAATGAAAATGATTAAAATATTGTTAAAGTACAAGTGCAAGTACAAAAGTGGGGTGGTTGGAGTAAATTAAAGTGGGTGGTGGGTGAGGGGTATTAAAGGCATTTCACTTATAATTCTTTGCCTAATTTAGAAAGATGAACTTTATTTGTGGACGGGCGAAAAAGAAAAGTACGAACATTAAAAATGGACGGAGGGAGTACTTCGTATATCTCATTATTAGTTTTATGACTTTGATCTCCTCTCGAAAACTAGTGCATGCTCTCCACTCTTAACGCTTGCCATTTTTCCATCTGTGCAACGAAGGTTCAATGACTACACCGCGGTTCACTAATATAGTCATCTTTCTCCTTCATCTTTCCATTTGACATTGACATCTTGGATGGATTTTACAACACAATTAGGTATTTTCAATTTATATTCTCAAACTCATGAATTCCTTTTGGGGGATTGAATTCTTAATCAAGTATGTTTGATTCTTATTCTTTGAATCATAATCTTTTGTGATAACATTTTTTTGGGGTTTCAATTCTTAATTAGCCATGCTTGATATTTTTCTTTGAATTATAAGTTCCATTTTGGCAATATATATCTTGGGATAGTTTCTTGGGCTAGAGTTTCAGTGTTATGTGCTAGTTTTGTTTTTGTGAGATTTGATCATGAATGCATTATGGGTCCAAAATTTAATTTGTGTTGAGCTATTGTATTTGAGGGTTTTGAATTGTGTATGTTATGCAATTTGGATAATTAGTGCTCTATGTTCGTATGTGTGAATGAGTGCTCGAATTTGTGTAAACTAATTATAAGATTTTGTATATGATAGTAAGAGACAATGCATTTAGGGAACTTCACAACGCATCATGGGGAATCTCCTCACTATAATTATGCAAGTCACTGCATTTGTTTGTATATATCTTCTCAAGAATAATAGTTTATGAAGATGTGGTATGTCAAACATATATGTAGACTAAGTATCTTAGTGCACATAATTCTTAAGTTGAAACTTCTATATATGGTGTTAACTTTGGTACGTTAAACAGTAATCAAAATGCATTTATAATAAATATATATTTAGGTGTTTTATTGAATATTTGATAGATCAGTAGTGTCGGATCACAGGGATTCGAGGGTTAGAAATCACCGCAGAATTTTGGAGGATCTAGAGAAAGAAACTAGAATGAGAAAGTGAAAGTGTATTGCGAGTGAGATAACAAAGTTTGAATCCCAACTTTTCGATACCCTACCATAATGTCGGAGGGGTGATACTTATAGGCGAGAGAGAGCCTTGTTTTCCAAGTCTCGCCCTTTTGGCATGAAGGCCACGTGACCATGTAACCGCATCAAGAAATATCAACAACATCCGGGTCAACTCGACATGTCGGGTCGTCCGCTTACTACTGAAGATACAGACACTACTGGTGCTCGGTTGTAGATAACTTTTTATACCTAGATAACACTACCGCTCGACCACTTGTAACCTCATTCAGCCGATAACCCGTGTTCCAGATAGGGTCCTCAACTTTGATCTTTGATGAGGTCTTCTTCCTTGGACTGGATACCCCGTTGCTAGGGTATCCGTCAAGTAGCTAAAGAAGGAATATGAAATTATTGGCTTATGTTATGGCTTGATGAATGGATACATAGTAAATTTGAGTGTAATTTAAAATATGTGATTTATAACATAGCTTAGCATGTTGCAAATATATGCTTTGAGTGACTTAAAGATGGTTCATGCTTTCAACTTTGGAATGTAAGGCATGTGCACTGTAGAAGAGATGGAGAAACGAAAAATTCAATTATTTCATCATCTAAGAGCCTTGGTATCTGTCATTCCGTAAAAGGAAGGAAACAATTTTCAAATACAAAAATATGGTTTTTTTCTTACTCGTGTCGTGGAATTTTAGAATGGTTCAATTAATCTAATCATGGTGAGGTTTATTTTTCAGCATGAAGGCATCTATTTTCTTTAACAATTGATTAGTAGTTATTCTTTAATGGGAAACATTGAGCTGATGGGCTTTAGTGTCTTGTGAGCAATTTCATATATTCAGATCTATTTGATTATGGAGTCTTGACCAAATTAGCTTTAGTGTCCCTGAGTCAGAATTGAACCACTCGAATGATCTAAAACTGTAGGGTGCAACATGTTTTCACAAGTTTCATGCATGTCTTCTTAAAATTATTGTCTGCACTTTGGTATTGCATATTTGAACTCAGGGGAATGCATTTTTTGATTTAGTTATTGCTATTTGCAGCCATGAGTTAGAGTGATTGCATTACCATGAATGCATTATTTTTTGCGGATTAGTTGTTTTCATTTTTATTGCATTAGAATTCCTTCAAGATTTGATAGCCGTTGTCTATGGTATGCTATCATATTTTAATATTGCATGTTTTTCGGCATAACATTGTATGACACAACTAGTGCACTCTCTTCCTTTTTCTAACACATTAACTTTGTATTTTTATTATTAATCTTTTTTAATTTCAATTGGATTGCTTTCATTTTGCTATTGACTATCATGTGTACCTTAAGTGAAGATAACAATGCATTTCCAACACAAAACTATGATGCTACTGAGATATAAATTTTGCTATATATTTTATTAATAGGTAATATGAATATACTTTTTAATGTTTAACCAAATGGGACTGTTAGATTTTTTTACTTAATGCTCCTCTTTTATGCTTGTACCAATATAATTTGGACCCATAGGATTGGCTTCTTATGTACTTCGGTAATTGCTTTATTCACTAGCTTTTGCATCTCTCAGCAAACCCAATTGCAGATCTAATTGAGTCTCAAGTATTGATATCATGTTTAGAATCATTTTAGTTTGATAACAAATTCAGACCTCTTAGTACTTTTCTAATTCTATGAAAAACCAATTCTCAAAGCCTCATTTTTTACAGGTATTATTTTTTTCTTCATTCACTGGGGTGAAGTGTGGACAACCAACTTCAATGTGTAACGCTCGTGGCCAAACTAGTAGCCAAAAGTAAAGTGGAGTCATACATTTGGGTACTTCAATGCTTTCACGATGCAACACGTCACCATTCATGATGCACTATTACTAATCAAGACTTTGTTGTTCACATTTCCCTGAAAGAAGTTACGATATCTTTTTAAGAAGCATTAAAGAAGTTAAAATATCTTTCTTAGATCGTTGATACTTTTCATATTAAAGCATCACTATTCATTTCTCTCTATTCTCCTCACTATCCCTTCAATTTTCCCACCACACTAATCATTCATATACTTTTTTAATATCTATTTTTACATGTTATCTTTCTATTGGTGTAGAAAAAAAAGTAAATTGTTTTTAAAATGCAATGTACCAATAGAATTGTATCTTTCTCCAGAAATATATTATTCCCCTCTAATCTTCTCTCTTCTATTTCTTCCATCACTCTAATCAATCTTCTCTCATTTCTCCTTTCACGTCATTCTATTCCCCTATTAAATGTGGGATTCAGCGACTCGATAATCTCTTCACCTTACCATATGCATCATGTTTTTTACAATAAAGCCCCTCCAACTCTTAATCCCTCGATTTTAAAATATTGTACTTAATGCTTACCTAATAGAAGTAACGTGGAAGTTGAGCTATTTTTTAAATTGATAATGTACGCCATGAGATGCTTTAGATCAATACATCACATTATTTATATTTCTTTCATTGAGACTCATTCTTAGCGAAACCGACCCCGTGTGTGTATAGTACATGTGTTTGTGCGTGCGTGTATGTGTACTATTAACAATAAATAAAATATTTAAAAATGAAAAATGTGGTGTCCTTTTTTAAAATAAATAGAATTTGGCTACCACTACCATAAATGCACAAACTTATTTGGAAAATACCCCATGACGAAGTAAAAATGAATCATTCTAATTTTTCAAGGTAAAGGTAATGAATCATTCTTAGTTCAAGAGTTATAAACTAAATCATTCTTAGTTTTTTACATATTTAAAAACTAAATCAAAAGTTATACAAAACAAGATGACAAGAATATTTTATTTAATCTATTGATCAATGAAAACATGCAAATAAACAAAAGTTATCAAGAAGCCATAATAGTAAAAAAGTAATTTATTTTAGGATGAAAAATTACTATTAAAAGGGTCTATGAATTTCATGTGGATCTTCATTCAAGAACTTACCAAGTAAATAAGGCTCAAAAAGTTGGGAGGAGTGGGAGTATTTTACATGGTATGTATATAATGCATCTTCTAATTCTCTAATCAATGAATTGAAAAGTATTGGAATGTACGTAAATCTATATCCGCAGTCGTCCACAAGGAAGGAAACAAATCAAAGCTGCTTGCACATCGATCTATAATTTAGTCTTGTACTCACAGTTCTGTTTAGCGACACTCCTACTGCCGACGTCAATGGACAAATCGCAAGTGCTAACTGATTTCACATGAATTTTGAACAGGATCCGAACTGTACCGGTGATTCTGGTGTAGGTGGAGAGCGGGACCGTTCCGCCGGAGATGTCGGAGAGCAGCTTCCCGTTGGAGAGGAGCCGATCCGCCATGACGGTTATGGTGACATTCATCGGGATCGTCTGCCGGGCGCCGATCTTCCCGGCGGGGATCGGCGCGTCGCCCACGTCCTCGCCCCTGTACTTGAGCAACACGGAGCTGTTGTCGTACTTGAACCCTACGCGATTAGGGTTCCGGACGGCGACGCGCGCGTCGAGCGTGAGGTTGATGTGGACGGCCGGGGGCAGTAAATCGATGGAGAAATTGAAATCGCTGAGTGAAACTGATTCCACGGTGGTGGTCGGCTTTTTGGGTTTGAAGACGGTGAAGCCCAGTACGACGAGGATTAACGCCACCAAGACAGCCGCCGCTCCGAAAGCCAAGCACGCCGTCCTCCTCCGCCGTGCGGCGGTCTTACTCGGGACGGGGCGGTCGGAAGCGACTTGACGATTCATCGGCACCGTGTCCTGCTTTGGATCCATTACAGCGCGCGATCGGATTATAAGCAGATGAACTGCGAGAATCTCGGCGTATATATATGGGCAATTTTCGGATCAATAACGGAATCGAGTGAGGCTGGCTGGGTTTGAATGAAATTAATTTATGGTGAAGGAAGAGCAATTAAGGAGGGGAGGAGGAGGAGTAGACAGTACGTAAATGTGAATTCGGGTTGTTGAGAAGATGGGAAGCTGGGAAGTATGAAATCAGCGATGGAAGATTGGACGGTTTGGATATGGTAGCGTTCACAAAGGATGCCGATCCAAATTAATTCTGGAGGGCGGACGGGATGTTGACCCACACAAGGGCTAACGGGTAAGGCTGGACACGGCACCGGTAGGGTACTGTTACTGGCAACGGTACCGCCGGTACCCCACCGTCACCGGCAACCGTCCCGCTGCTCTGGTTCCGGGGAACCAGTACCGGTTCCGGACCCATTTAATTTTTTTCCCTTTAATGCTTTGGCATACCTACAAAAAAAAAAAAGCAACCATTAGTGGGGGACCCCTCAAACGGCTAGAATGCCCTTGAGGGGAAGGGAGGGGGTTAGGGCTAGGGGAGGGGGGTTATTAATACATTATAAATATATACTCAATTTTTTTAAAAATATCACACCATTCACAAATCACACTCAACTCTCAAATCTCAATCCCTCATTTCTCAATCTATTTCTCATTTCCTCTCTAATTCTCTATTAATCCCTATTATCTCTGTTTAATCTTTATACATTTTATATTCATATAATAATATAAATATATATTAATATACTACGTATTATATAATATATAAATATACTCATATAATATTAAATTTTTAGTCATACATTCATCATTCATATAATCATATTATCATATATTACTATTTACTAATACTCCCTCTGTCCCGCTATATTCGTCCACTTTTGACTTTTGGAACTGTTCATCTAAGCACTTTGACTCATCAAATTCTCTCAATGTGTAAGCCTAAATATAGTCATGTGTGATCTTGTTTTATTTATCTTAACATATAGATTATTAATATATAATTTCTATAATTTTTTAATATACAAATTACAAGATAAAATGGATTAAAGAAGTGTATTGGATGGTGTGCAAAAATGAAAGTGGACAAATATTCTGGGACGGAGGTAGTATATTATATTGTTAATTTGTTATAAATTAATATTATAATTTCGAAATTTAATATATAATTAATATTTTAAATATTTAATATAGTCCTTTTTATCAAAATATATTAAAATGTCGAAAGAGTCCGGTAGAAGGTCCATGGATATGGGCGTTGTGAACCGAAGTTCGAGGAAAAGCAAAGCTAAAGCCACCTCCGACAGTTCGAGCTCACGTGGTTCTCAAGGAAGACACTCCATCTCTTCCTCCCCGACTATCCCTGATCAATTCGTGGGCAACGCTATGACGGATCAAGAATTCGAACAGTATTTGGGAAGTAGAACTGACGCCAATCTTCCAACTCTTGAAGATATATTCGAGGACATTGATGAAGCAGTAATGGACGTGGAGCCTACACCACAGAGCAACAATCCTACCGATGTCAACGAGGAGGCAGGTGAGCCCGAGACCTCTCAAGGTCCGGGGAAAAGTAAAAAAATTAAAATCTAATTTATTTGTTTATCATTTTTCAAAAGAAACAAAAAATGGCGAAATTTTTGAACTTGTAATTATTGTGGCACCGTCATTAAAATGGGAATTTCCGACGGTTATGGTGGTCCAGAAAAACACCTAAGGGCGAGGCACCCTACGGGTACGCCAAATACGCGGCGAAAAAGATGGAACGACAAGAAGTGCAAACCCAAATTTCTCGGTTTGCTAACAGGGGTAAGGGCGGCCGTTTTGCTTATAGCGACAAGCAAAATAAGCAAAAAATGACCGAAATGATTTGTGAAGAAAATTTGCCATACATGTTTTCTGAAAAACTTAGATTTACTAGTATTTAACACGTGCAACACACGGGGTCGAACGCATGTTATTTTTAACTCTGCTAACTTTTTGTTTTAAGAAAATAACTAAAGAATAAATTAAAGGTAAATATAATATAGAATGTTAAAATACGACATAAACAGAGTATACTAACTTAAATTCATGTATATAAAAATTGAAAAGAACGTATGAATGTATTAATCAAATCCAATTTTTTTTTGGAAAAATTCAGGGTAACCACATTTTTGGTGCAATTGCAAGAGTTACCATTGTCATCTAAAACTAACGTTTTCAATCATTTCTTAGTTTTTACTCGTGAAATTGCAACATAAAGTTGACCATACGTGAGTGAATAACGATTTGGTCTATAATAATCCAACAAATGATAATGTTTTGGCCTTGACTCTTATCGATTGTCATGACAAAACATAAAGATATTGGAAATTGTCTTCTTTGAAACATAAACGGTAATCCATGATCTGACAGTATTTTAACGCGTGCCATGCACGGATGGAACGGATGTGTTTTTTTACTCTATTATTTTTTCGAAGTTAATGGTTGAAAAATTGAACAAATTACAATAGTGACCTCAATATTACTCAACAAACGATATGGGATAAGTATTTGCTAATGGAAATTCTTCTATATAATCACACAAATGAACATGTAAACACTCAATTTAATTCCAAATTTTTTGGAAAATATTGGGGTACACCACCTTTCTAGTGAATTTGCAAGTACTATTGTCATAAAAATTAATACTTTCAATCATATCTTTAATTTCACTCGCAAAACTATATAAAGTTGTTTGAGAGTAAATACTAATTTTTGTAAATAATAATCTAACTAAGGACAATGCTTGGTCTTAACTCTTATTAATAGTCATAGCGAAACATAAAGATATCAAAAATTTCAGGTCCGGTCCTGAAAAATAAAAAAAATAAATTTGGCCCGGTTCAAAATTTACATTTTAAGCCAAAAAATTGCTGCCAGGTACCTCCTATTTTGCAATAAAGACTGGCAGGTCCCATGTTTTTTAAAATATACTCTTGGGGGCTTAAAATATATCATTAATGACTAAGGGGGTGAGTTCCGTCCATTGCACCGTTAGCTACATTTACTCCGGTTAATTTAATATTAAAAGGTATTGAAATTCCTAATTTAACCCTCAATCTTTCCTCTTTAATGCTCCAATGCTATGACGCCAACCTAGGGTTTTAATTTTGCGGTGAAGCTTCGAACCAGAGAGACGAAGGAGAGTGTAAGCAGCTGGGGCACAATCACAGGACCTGTGGGCAGAGTAGAGATGAAGGAGGAAGGATTCTGAAGAAGAACCAAAAGAAGAACAAATCTGCAGTAGAAGTGTAGTATTGATATGTAGTTTTTTGTTTTGTTTTTGGGAATTCAATGTTATGAAATTAACATGTGAAATGTTTTTTTTGTATTTCAAACCATTAAATAGAGTATCTGACTGAGTTCTGTAACTTATTTACTGGAAGTTTACTGCCTTTGAGTTTTGATATGGTGTCTGCTGCCATTATATAAATATTTGCTGCTGTTAAGTATATGTTGTTGGTTTTAGGTATATGCTGTCGAATTTTCAGATTTTTATTCGAATAAATCCAGTTTTATTCGAATAAATATGAGAATTCAGTTCTGTCCTATTCGAATAAATTTGAATTTATCTAAATTTATTCGTATAAATTGAACAAATCTACTCACCCTCTGTGATCCTTTCTGTTCTATTCGAATAAATCTAAATTTATTCGTATAAATTCCTGATTGGCTTTCAAGGTTTAATTGAACATCCCTTATTATTAAAAAGACATTTTGTTCACATTGAACATGCCTTCCAAAGTACAGGAGCACAAATACATAAATTCTGCGTACATAAACATTACAAACACCACTTCACAACAAGTACATAAATTCAGATTATATAAACAATACAAACATTGCAAAGTTGAGCACAAATGCTACACCAAAGCCAAACAGAAAAGCCCCAAGCCTCTTGTCTTTGATATGCTTCTTTAGGACCTTTATTTCTTCGTCTTTGCCATTGCTCTTCTTTATAAGTCCGGGAATGATCTTCATACCTGTTTAGATCCATTACTCGTCGAAGAGAAGATTGTGTTCCAATCTAGAATAAAATGTCGTGCAAAATGAAGAAATCCCAAACTCATAATAATCAACTAACAAAGGCAAATATAAATTAATGAGTGTCTTCGCATACCCAAGAAAACTCAGAGGCTCGTCTCTCTCCTTCGTCTCTCTGGTTTGAAGCTTCACCGCAAAATTAAAACCCTAGGTTGGCGTCATAGCATTGGAGCATTAAAGAGGAAAGATTGAGGGTTAAATTAGGAATTTCAATACCTTTTAATATTAAATTAACCGGAGTAAATGTAGCTAACGGTGCAATGGACGGAACTCACCCCCTTAGTCATTAATGATATATTTTAAGCCCCAAGAGTATATTTTAAAAAAACATGGTACCTGCTAGTCTTTATTGCAAAATAGGGGATACCCGGCAGCAATTTTTTGCATTTTAAGCCCTATTTTATTTTTTTAGAATATTTTTGCTTTAAAATTATTAATAAATTTTAAAATATTGGCCCCTAAAATTTTAGGATCCATGTGCGGTTGGCCATGCATGGATGGAACGGATCAAATGATATTGTGCTCTGGTTATCCAATTCTCAATCTTGTTGACTCTGGTTATCACCAAAACACATGCTAGAAGGATGGAAACCATTATGTTTTTGTTATGCAACATAAAAAAATCTCCATGAGGAAACATCATTTGAAAAAACAAAGAATAAAATGTAGCCCAACAATCTACTGCATAGTCTATTCCTAAATATACAGCATTTGAGAATCATTATATTCTTATATCTTTAGCAAAAAAAAAAAAGAGAAACGAACTCAAGCGATGTGGAGCTTACTAAAAAAATCCATAATTTCTACACAGTTTGGATACTATGTACTTTAGGAATTAATATGCTCCATATTATTATTGCTTCAGGCAAGTGGGTGATTTAATTTTCAGATTGATCAACGTGTACTATTCCTCTATTGTTTTTTTACATAGAAAAGGAACAAAATTTTCTTTCAAAAAACTTGAATCATGATCTAAAAATAAGGTAGATTTTAATTACCTAATTAACATGGGTTAGGGTTCTTATATAATATATGTTTTTTTGAGATTGACCTTATTGCAAATGAAATAGTTGAAACTACAAAGCATCACAATTTTCAAATGGAAAATATAAAATGAAACTTTTCATTTTAAATTATTGTTTACTTAACAGAAAATGTTTTTCAAATTATTCTTTACTTAAGATAGGAAAAAGGCCTAAAATGAAACTTTTCAGCCAATGACAATATGTAAAGAGAGCTCATATTGAACATGAAAATGCTAAGCAAATGATATCTTTTAATTAGTACCACAGATGAAGTACCTGTTTATATAATGTCTAAATGAAACATTTCTAAAAAGTTTAGTGGAGAAAATACTGATCTTTTCATCTCTTCTGGTACTTAATCTGAAACTTCAAATACGAAAATTCAGCAAAACCAACTTCAAATAGGATTGCAAGTATACCTCATATTGTTTCTTAAGAAGCCACTATTTTTAGTGACTTCGTATATTCTCAAAAGCTCTAAATCCAGAGCCTTGTTTGCCCAACTGCATGAAAAAGTATTATACAATCACATCTCTTTTTTTCAACCAATTTGTGGAAACCACAAAAAAAAATGAATCAAAACATAAACAGAGAGCTTTGATCTATTACCTTCCAATTTTGTACTTGTATAAATGAACAATGTAATCTTTCGGATCTGAGCCTTAGAGTGTCTTTGTCGTGCCATTAATTCACATACTATGATTCTAAATGATGTATGTAATCTCACACGCTCAATTTTCACGAATAGGAGTAATTGGAATAAAATTCGAGTAAAAAAATACTGTGTAAATATATTTCGAGCAACTTAAGAAAATCTAGGGATTTTTTAGGTTAGGAGATTCGATGTTATGACATTGAGCTTACCTTGAATATGATGTTCCACCACCTCTTGAAGTTCCCTTCCAGCGAGTACCCCCTTCCACGTTGCTCCAGAAAAGACAGTCGAGAATCGGTTTCCGGTTGGGAGCTCTGTCGCTCAGTGGCCATCCAAGGAACGACATATATGAGCTCCAATATTGATTTTTAACACTAATATTGTTTTAAAAAACATACCATATAGTAGATCCAAGATCAACCAAACAAACAAATGTCAGGATCATGCCATGTAAGGCTAAAATTATTGGTTTTGCTATACAATCAATATGAACTGTAGAAGCTAAATAATTGCAAGACCATGGCAGTTGCAGAAAAATGATGCATCAAAATGTAGATAAATAACCCATCTTATATAAAGTACAAAAGATTGATGTCTATACCCTATAATTGCAAGACCATAGCAGACTCATTCACTTAGGCATTTCAGCATGCATATTACATGAACGCTACATAATTTACGTAACCACCAAATCGTTATACTTTTCCTTTTGTTTGAACTGATACATAAGTACTTTACCAAATTGTTCTTCTTCTTCCTTTAAACTAACAGAAATTATACTTACATTATCTGTGAGTATGCAAACAGGCAGCAACCATGATTTTTTAATAGCCGTAATATAATTAGTGAGAACTTTAATCCACACACAACAAATAAAACCACAGTATCAGCATACCAGTAACATGTTCCACACGGAAAAACCTATCCAAGACATTATCTAATAATAGCCGTAATATAATCAGTGAGAAGGAATATGGTGTAATTGTAGAAGTTAACAACCCAGTATGTACATAAAGCAATTGCCCTTTCCTTTGGAAAAAATGGATTTTGAAATCTAATTTTTTCCGGAAAAAATCCTAAATTTTCACAGTTTGAAAAACGATGGGTGGTCTGAAATCCAAGATTTGGAAGAAAAAAAAATCAAGAACTATTCAAATTTAGTAAAATTAAATTCGAAATTTGGAAACAAATTTACACTTGAAATTTGGAAGCAATCCGAATTCGAAATTATAATCGAAATTTGGAAACAAACCTAATTTGGAAATTTGGAACCTAAATCCAAGTTTGGAAAAAAACCTAATTTCAAATTTGGAAACAAACCTAGCTATCTTCTGATCACCATTCTCTTGCCGATTATATGGAATCTTTCTTTCGTTGAAGAATCTACGTATAGCTAGTGGTAGATGCGAAAAATCAGGCGGGGCGATGGGCATGGAGACGCGAAGAAGACGGAACCAAGCTAGTGGATGAAGAATCTTTCTCGGGTGCCGCAAATCTTCGAGTGGGATTTCCAATCGCAGAGAACGGCGTAGCACTTGCTGCACTTGTAGCAATTGAATTTCTTCTCGCTGTGCTTCCGGCAGAAATGTTTTTTAATTCCGGTGAGGTCGCCAAGAGCTCGGGCCGGGTCTTGGTGGGCGAAGCTCGGTTCTTTAGGAAAGGCCTCGGCGATTTACAGGAAGAAGCTAAGAAGCGACGCGTGGAGCATTACGTGTCTCAACAATAGAATTCTGAAAGTGCCACGTGTCAAAATTTTAAATAATCAACTCTCAAATTTTATATTAAATGATTGATTGTCAGAATGCATTAAACCCTCAAGTAAGAGGTTTTTCAAGAAAAAGGATTAAGCGAGAAATTATTCGACAATATAAAGTTGAAAAAATGAATTTGGCAAATTTTTTCTCAATTTTAATTCTCGTGTTACTATTTGTTCTGATATTTGGAGTGAAACATATCAAAATTTGTCTTATATGGGTGTTACTTGTGATTGGATAGATAGTGATTGGATTATGCATAAACATATTCTTGCATTTCGTGATTTCAATGAATCTCATACTGCTAAAAATATTATCTATTGCTTGAGCGTGTTCTGCAGGAATACAATTTAGTTAATATAGTGTTTCCATTTGGTTTTGATAATGCTATTAATAAAATTGCTGCTATTCTAGACTTAGAGAAAGTTGTCCCCCTACTACGAGTATGGGTAGATTTCTGTATCAAAGGTGTGCTTGTCATGTTTTAAATTTATGTCTTCAACAGTGATAAGAAGCTATGGGGGAGGTTTGACGAATATTAGAAATGGAATTAAAAAGATTTGGGGTAGCCGTATAACCCCGTATTCATACGAAAGCTTGGAAGTCATAATGTAAATATAAGGATAGAAGACCAATAACATTTGCTAAAGATACCACCATTAGATGGAATAGTACATAAAACTTGATAGCACAGATTTTAAGCTACAAAGAGGAACTTGCTGCATTTCTTAGGAATGAACTTAGTTTTATGATTTCATTGAATGAATTTGTTATTGTTGAAAAGTTGAATGTCAGATTAGAAGTTTTTAATAACGCAACTCTTACTTTCTCGCATGTTTACCAACCAACTACAAATAATTTTTTAAAGAGTTGTTACAATTGCAACATGTTTTAGTGAAAGTTTAGCTGATCCAGACTTGTATCCCTATGTCTCTCTTATGAGGGACAAATGGTGTGCTTATTATTTGTACATCCCTGATATTTATAAAATTGATATTATTTGTGATCCTCGCTTTAAGATTGAAATTTCAAAATTCTGATTGACTATTACTACACTTGTTTTTTAGATGAAAATAATTATTACTACAACCATTAAATAGAATGCACAAAAGAAAGAAATATTACTATTAATCTTTTTGAGGCTTTATTTAAAGAATTTCAAGGAATATACGGTAATGCACCGGAAGAAACAACACCTCCGATCCTCCGGCCCCCAAAGCAAAAAATGGTTTTAAAGAAATAGTCGGTGGGCTTTTGGCAAAAAAAGGTAAGCGTGGTTAGCCTTCGACGAGTTTAGGTGGTATAACTGTAAGCTCGCACAACGAACTTGCTATGTACTAAGGGGTGCCATGCGATTACGACGACGTGGAGTTTGACGTCCTCGCATGGTGGAAGCGGAACGAACACATGTTCCCATGTCTCAGAATGCAATCGAGACAAGTTTTATCCGTCCCGGTATCAACCGTAGCAGTGGAACAAGAAATTCAGTTCTAGTGGCAACATTCTAACTGACTACCGAAGTTATCTTAGCGCTGAATCTCTTGAAACACTTGTTTGCAACTGATATTGGCTTTTGGAAAGACGTCGAGCTTAATGAGTCAGGGTACGAATTCAATTCGGAACATTACATGAATGCAACCACAGATGGAAGCCCTAGTTATGAGGAATAAGTTATAAACTTTTTTTTGTGTTAATGTAATTAGTTTTTTTAGGTGAGCGATATATAAGCTCCTTTGAGGGTTTCCGAAACCGGCTGGTACGGGTAACGGAACCGATACTATCTGGTTCAGTGACGGTATCAAGGGGTGGCGGTACCAGAACTGGCGGTTCTGCACCCCGTGTCCACCCCTACTAACGGGTCGAATCGATCAATTATAATTAAAATAATTACTCTTTGTGTCTGTCCCAAAATAATTTATCGTTTTTATTATTATGATCTTTCAATAAATTTTATTTATTTGTATGTTTCCATTTATCATTTGAAAAAATAAAATAGTCGTGTCACATCTTATTTTGTAAAACTTTTGATATAGTTTTTATACATATAATTTTTGTTTTTTATTTCAATACAAATTTGTAAAACAAATCTATTTAAAGGTTACGAGATTCTGCACATTAAGTAGGGAGTGTAATTCATTTCTGGATGGAGGGAGTTACATTTTTTAGTTAATAAAAGTATTTTAATCTGTGGTTTTTTTACTTTTCCATCCTGTTTTTAATATCATTATGCATAAACTATTTCATACTTTCTATTTTTATTCTATTATTTTAATTATTATTAAAAGTTTTTTATAAATGTCTAAAAAATACTTAAATAATAAGACAATACTCATATATTATAAAAAGTTGAGACTAGATAATATGTCCTCATATACTACAACTATTTTAAATTAATGTTTGATTGGTTGAAGTGATTAAAAAATGTAGCATATTAAATTATTTTAGTAAATATGACTAGGTCTTTAAAGATAACAATATTTTTTAGGTATCAAATATAACGCTCAATTTTTTAAAAGTGCTTTAAAAGTTCTTAAAGTATGTCAAATTTCCTACATCAGAAAATAAAGAAGAATATCGCTAGCATATATAGATAGTGAATCCCTACCTATCATCTTAATCTTTTGAGTTAGAAAGTCGATCCTAACTTTATATGCAAATGGTTAATTTTACCCAATATTCTACCCGTTATTCTCTGCCAACTAGAATTTTAACATGATATGAGAGAAGGTACGGTCCCAGTTTGATTCTTCCAGGTTGTTTGGACAATGGTTTATCAAAATATGCTACCTTTTCGTAGTTTGGATTGAGTTGGCTATAAGAGATTGAAATGTTATCGCCCGTTGTGTGAGCTAGCTATAAAAGATTGAGATGCTAGAATCATATGTTCAAGTACTAACTAGGTCAGGCTAGTTACCACTTGAGTGCTGAAGTTCCCACATCATGAAATATAAAAAAACTAGTGTTAATTTAACCACGTGCTTCGCACGGGCTCGTAAACATTCTAAAATTTTAACATTCTTTAAATATAAATTTATTTTAATTTTCAAATAGTGACATAATATGTGTGATATGAATATTTTTTAACTTTAAGATATATATTTCTAAAATAAAAATTATACTTTAAATATCAATGCACATGTACTAGAAATTCTATAAGTGTTTTATTTAATAGTAAAAGAGAAATGATCATTTGTTTTTAAAAATCATATAAAACTTTATTTTTCAAAATATTAATAATGATTCAAAAATATTTTTTTAGATGTAATATAATTATGTAAACAAAATATATTTTAAACAGGTAGAATATATATCGGTATGTTAAAGCACTAACAAAAATGGTTTTAATTAATAAAAATTAAAATAAAAAATGGACTAATTAAATAATGATACATCGAGAATGTATATGTCACATAAGGCCACTTGTCATCTTTCAATTAAACTAACTTTATTCTATTTACTTTGTTAAAAAATATACCTAGTAATAAAATAAAAATGTAAAATAAAGTATTTATTTAATAAATGTTCACATGTGATTAAAGTTATATAATAATTTTTTTTGAGAAGTAATAAACTAAATTAAATAGTGGATAGTATAAAAATCATATAATATAAAATGATGTTTCTTGATTGATAAAGTTTATAGAACTTTTTTAAAAATTAACATAATATAATTGTGAATATTTAAAACATGTGTTGTATTCGTATTAAAGAAATGAATATTTTTAAATTCGTTAGAATGCAAAAAGTCTATAAAAATATTGGTTTTTTATTATTAAAAAGTGAAAGGTTACATAACAATTTAAGAAAAATAAAGGTTATTTAATGTTAGAAAGTAAAGGATTTTATATAAATTAAAAAAAACGGTTATTTAATAAATGTGTATCGTAAAAATTTTAATACAAAATTATTGTCTATTGAATAAAATAATAATTTTTTTGTTAAATTGAAGTGTTTTTAATGAATAATAAACAAAAGCAAAACAATGCCAAAAAAATACTAAACGAATTATAACATAAAAATACCAAACACAATTTAATGTTTCTGAAAGCATTTTTTTAAAGTGAAATATTTTTAATTAAATAATAAAGAGTCTTTTATATACTTTTTTTAAATATTATAATAAATATTCATATTTAAAATACGGGGTATATTTTACAATTGTAATTATATTTTTATAGAATTGTTAAAAAATAAAAAAGTTTTATACAAAATATAATTAAAGTAATGTTTTTTAATACCAAAAAGTAATATTTATCTAATATATTAAAATAATAAATAAAAGCAAAATAATTCCAAAAAATACTAAATGAATTAAAACATAAATATACCAAACACATTTTAATGTTTCTGAAAGCACTTTTTTTAAGTGAAATGTTTTTAAATTCATAATAAAGAGTCTTTTATGTACTTTTTTTTAAATATTAAAATAAATATGCATATTTAAAATATGGGGTATATTTTACAATTGTAAAAAAATTTTTTAAAGAATTGTTAAAATGAAAAAGTTTTATACAAAATAAAATTAAAGTAATGTTTTTTAATACCAAAAAATAATATTTATTTAACATATTAAAAGATCTTTAAACAAGCAAAATGGACCAATGAAAGGTTTCCACCTCATTGATAGGTGCACATGTGGCATGCCACATGTTAACACTACAACCAATACACTCAACTTTACATATACTCCGTATAATATAGGATATCAGTAGCACGCATATACAGAAGGGTGAAACTCTACTTCTCAGTTTAAGCTTTTTAGTTAGAAAGTTGATCCCGACTCTTTGTATAAGTGGTTAATTTTATCCAACACTCTGTTCGTTGTTCTCGACCTACCAAAATTTTAATAAAATAAGATACAAATGCACACATGAAAAAAACATGCGCTCTGTAATTTATTTGTTTTGTTTGCCCATGTTTAA